CCGGGAGGGAACGTGAGCCGCGGACTGCCGGGAGGGCCGGCCTCCACGGTCGCGTCCGGGGCGGGCCGCTGTGAGAGCGGCGCGCTCATGCACAGTTTCGGCATCTTCCTGCAGGGGCTGCTCGGCGTCGTGGCCTTCAGTACATTGATGCGTGAGTCCGGGACCCCAGCTCCTCCGCGGCCCCGTCGCCAGCCCCACCCCAGGGACCCTCCTTCCCGTAGAGTTCCGGCCTGGGGACCGGGCCCTAGGGCTGCGGTGCCTCCTTCTCCCACGAGACAGTGCTGGGCTTCCGCAGTCTAGAAGGGAGTCCCGGACCCTCACACTCCTCGGCTTATCGCTGCTGGTTTTGGCCAGGAGTGCCCCTGCCCCTCGCTGTCTTAGACCTGTCTCTTACCAAATGCCAGCCTAAAACTGACCCCTCCTGCCTTGCCATCGCAAATGAAGGGTACCTCACTTTCCGGTATGGACCGAGATCCACTCCCAAAGGTGGCATGGCTCTCGGCTCCTTCTCGGTTTCTCCTCTCAGCCTCCCCTTGGCTCTTAGACCGCACAGCCTTAAGTCCCTACTAGTCCAATGCTAGACTCTGCTGATCCTTCTCTCCTGACGTTTGCCCTCTCTGTTGGCGTTTGGATCCCGCACCTACACCCACCTGTGGTGTTCGGGCTGTGCAGTCCGAGTCACCACATTACCGCGCGTCCCCAGTCCTTATCCATCCATTGTTCAGGAAAGATCCTCTCGTACTGCCTTGGTCCCCACGTCTCATTCTTCTTTTTCTTCTCCACCTGTTCAGCTCTATCCCAAGCTTTCCTAATTAAGTTGTATCTGAAGTTTCCCCTGGCTGTTCTTCCCAAACCATGTTTGTTATTTACAGTTTGAATTTCCTCTTTTTCCGTGAAACTCTGACATTCTGGTTTGCTCAATGGAGAAGGTTAGAGTGTCTCAGGATCTCCATGCTAAGTCCCAGAGGCTCTTCTGAGAGTTTGGTAGGAAGGAAGGAAGTCGCATTTGGCCCTTGTCCCGTGGGCTCGGGGTAAGGACCTTGAGTACCCCAGGGTTAGAAGGTTGTGTTGTTTCTCTGACGGGCATCCTCTCCTTATTAAAGGATGGAGGTCTGTTGGCGCATAAGTCTGGGCGTGTCCCTGGGATGTGTTAGAGAGGAGTTATAACTAAGCTGTACTGTGGCATTAATTCCAAAACTGATTTGTTCTCAAAACTGTTCTCTGTAGGCAGAATGGGGAGCTCCAGCAACATCTCTCTTCAGTCTGGGGGGAGGGGAGCTCCTGCAGCTGAATGCAGATGTTGGGTTAGCCTTGTTTATCTGTAACATGAAGTTTCTTTGGGCAAACTGTCGCAGGCTTCAGTTGTCCCTGGAGAGCCTCTGCTCCTGGCCACTATTTCTGACTGCTTGGCCCTGAACAAGAAGTGCCCAACTGTCCATGTGTTTGTCACTTTTTCTTTTCCATCCCTGTTTGCCTTGCCATTTTCTCTGCTCATTCGTTCCCACCATAACAGTTGGTGACAACTTAGCCAGACTCGGTTGCTGACAGGTGTACATACTGCTGTGCCTGATTTCAAGGCGCTGTGAATGGGCCTTCTTCCTGTCTCGCTTCCTCTCCTCAGCCTCATTCGTTTCTCAGGAACGACAGGTCTCATTTTTATTGCAAAACCCGAGATTTTGACTGTTCTCCTGGGCTCGATTGGTGCTTTTAGTCGGGTGTGTCCCCTCGGGTTTCACACGTGATTCCGAGAGTGAAATGTGATTGTGCCAGGGCAGAGTTGCTCACCGGTGAGAACTGTGCTGGGGTCAGCGTGCACAGAGTGGCAGCACCGGCCCTGCGAGTCTTCAGGGACACTCTCACCTCTTAATCTTCAGCGCAAATTTCTGTACACATCCCAGTGTGGCTAGTACTCCCTGCGAGCATTTACTGAGAAGGTAGATCCCTGTTCAGGAGAAGGCTCAATGTAGAAGGGGTTTATGAGAATGGCCAGTAGGCGCTGAGTGATGAACCGGGAGGACATACCGGGTCCATCCTGGACCTATGAAGCAGGTAGAGCAAGCCCAGATGATGGGACTGTGGTATGACCAGGAGGTCCAACCCTTTGAAGCACAGTCTTGGCCCTGTTGAAATACGACTGTGGAGCTTTTCCATTTTGAATAGCCAGGAAGAGGAAGGGATTCCTAAGGGGCTGCCTTACACTGTGGACTAGATTTTTGCTGGAGAAGCACATCTGCTACCAGCTGTTGGTCTACATCTGCTTTCCTGGTCACAGAATCTGTCTGTCTGAGCTGCTGGAACCAAGGGCCAGCCTCTGAGCCAGAGCCCAGCCAGAGGCCCTTGGGGTAGGGGTGGGAGCCACCTTGCTTCGGCAATCCCGTCTTTATCATCTTCAGGCACATTTAAAATGCCTTTCAGATTCTTGTGAACAGTTTGAACTGACAGTTCCTGTTCTCTTTCAGGTCTCCCCCTTCCCGGTACTGTGTCCCCTAAGGCAGTGGAGTGAGTGTGTCTCCCAGTTCCGACTACCGGGACCTTACATCCTTGCCTGACCCACCCTTGTTGTAGTACGATACACCCACTTCTCTGCCTGAGAGGCTCTGATGTTTCCTCCTTTACACTCCTTGTTGCCGTGGGTCCTCAGACCCCTTTGTGTATTCTTTCTCTGTGTGTAAAATCACTTTGCCCTCATTGCTGTGTTTTCTACCCCGGTATGTGAGGGTGAGCTTTGTACTAGAGGAAGGATTTAAACATACCTTAATATCACCCAGAGAAAATTTGAGTTCTCACCAGTATTTCTCTCCCTGGTGTTCTGATTGATGTCTTATGTTGTGTCTGGAAGTTGCAGACTGACTCAGACTAGGTAGTTAAAGCAACTATGCTAGGTTCTGTATGCATCCTGTTCTTCATTCTGCGCAACCATGCAGACTGTTAGAGGCCACCAGCCGCTGGTGCATTCATGGCAGCATCATTTTATGAATCAAGTAGGTGGCCGTCCCAGAGCTTTCAGCTAAGGAGCCCTGTGTGGGGAATGCCCAGCAAACTCAAGCCCGGTTATAGATTGTATAGCCGCTCTGAGTTTTCAGAGATGTTATGAAACTGACTGGGGATCTACATAGAAATACTGTAAGCAAGGAGCTTTGTCATGATCTACCTGCCCAGCAGTCCCTCTTGTGTGGTGTCTTTGTCTCAGAGTCTGACTCACTGAAGTCACTCAGACTGGAGTTGCAGCAGAATGGAGCCGAGCAGTTGTGGAGCTTGGCAAACTATTCCAGTGTAGGAAAGCCATCTAGCCATCAGCTGAAGGTCGGCATTGGCCTGTGCGTGTTAGCTTTTGGGGGTGCTGACCCCCAGGACTGTGAGGGCAGAGCACACTCAAGCTTCCTTCACCATGCAGTCAGGGTTCAGACTGAAGTGTGGACACAATTGGCTTTTAACAAAACAAGCATTTTGATAGCTTGGGTAAATGTGCCTGTGTGTTTTATGTCACAGATAGGGCGACTAGCAAGCTGGTAGAAGTGGTTCCAGATTGTATCAACAGGATTCTGGCACTAAGAAATGATAGTTCTTTTCCTGTGACCCAAAGCAAAAGTCACCAACAGTCCACCAGCTTCAACACCTTAATCTTGGATAAAAGTGTATGTTATTTTCACTCGTGCAGAGCTGGCCTCCCTGTGTGCTCTATATACATACCAAGTAGGTGCATTGCCTCTGTAGTCACCTCTCTGTATCCCATTACAGTTTTATCTTTTAAAAAATGTCAGAAAAGCAAATGCCAGCCTGCTACCTAGTTTCCTAAGTTCACACTTTGTCAAACATTTCTCTTTATAACATTTTTCCAGAGCCATTTGAAAAAAAGTTGCGGTCGTTACCTGAATACTTCAGCTATCTCCTAAGGACAGCCCTCCTAAGAGGACGAATAACTCCATATCATCGTCATCTGATACCCACTGCGTGTTCACGTTTCCCCAGATGCCATTTATTTTACAGCTGAGTTTTGAACCGTTGGTCCAACTGTTCAGTGCGGCTTGAGCCTGGACCTCACCATGACAGGCTAGTGTTCTGCCACTTGGCCACATCTCCAGCCCCGCTGCTTGTGCACACTCGAAAGACGCCACTGCGGAAATGTCAAGTGTCCACATCCACAGGTTTCTGAGTGTCTCCTTGGGCGTCTGTGTTGTTTCACTGACCCCAGGGCTCCCCAGTTTGGAGCAATTAAATTCATATAAACTTTTTATGTATGAACACTCCATAACAGATGCTGCATGCACTGTTAATGCTGTCAGGAGGCTGTAGCAAGGCCTTGCTGGGCAGTGGTGGCGCACACCTCTAATGCCAACACTCCGGAAGCAGACGCAGGTGGATCTGAGAGTTCAAGGCCAGCCTGGTCTACAGAGCAAGTTCCAGGATTATGTGGAGAGAACCTATCTCAAAACAAGCCAAAAAGTCCAGAAAGAGAAAGGCCAGTTACTCATGGGTTGGAAGTGGGAGGACCCCTCATTTCTCCCTTGTAAAAGTACACTCTCACTTCCACGCTTCCAAAACCTTGCTATTTAATTACCTTTCACCTAGAGGTTACTTCCTTGTAAAGAAAGCAAGCTGCCAGGTGGTGGTGGCACACGCCTTTAATCCCAACACCCAGGAGGCAGAGGCGGTCGCAGCTGTGTGAGTTCAAGGCCAGCCTGGTCTATAGAACAAATTTCAGGACTGAAAATAGCTACTGAGAAACCCTATCTCAGAAAAACAAAACAACAAACAAACAAACAAAAGCTGTACCTCACTGTGAGCTGGGGGATGTGAGGCTGTAAAGGCAGTGTCTCCCAGCACAGCACAGGGCACATACCCCTTTCCGCTTGGAAAGAAAGCGTTCTTTTTTCTGTCCAGGCTGTTGTACCCACTAGGAAAAGTAGTGTGTTGATGTTAGCACGCCAGTTAGTTCAGGGTATTCATTTCAGGAGACTTGGATTTCTAGATGTTCATTTCTTTGATAGCATTTGTCCAAATGGCATTCTCCCACTTCATTTATAATAAAAATGTATTAATTTGGAGTTGAATGAATTAGGAGACAATCTGAATTTTAACATAATTTCATCAAATGCATTTTTAAAATTATTAAATACCTCTTGGCCAAGTGTTGCTCTGTAGGGGCTTATA